GGGCGAGCGGGCGCTCGTCCCGCTCTCCGAGGGGAAGCGGCGAAGTCGATCCTGCAGGCTCCCCTCCCCGCCCAGCCCGGCCCGGCCCGGCCCGGCCCGGCCCGCACTCACATCCCGCCGCCGATGCCGGCCCACACAAAGGACCGCTACTCGCCCCGCCGGCGGCGCTCCCCGCACGGGGAAGGGGTGGGGCCGCGCCGCCCGGAGGCCCGCGCCGCGGAGGAGGCGGAGGAGGAGGCGGGAGCGGGGCAAGTGCCGCCCTAAGAGCGCCGGTCGAGGCTGCGGAGGTGCGGCGGGGCCCGGGTGGCGCCTCAGCCTCGGCACACGGAGGCGTTTCCCGGCTCCCCGCGGTCCGGTGTCCCCAGGGCCCTCGGGAGGGAGAGCCCGGTCGCCCGGGGCGAGGCAGAGGCTGCAGCTTCGCATGTACAGCGTGAGCTGTGCCTGAGGGTGAGATCTAGAGATGGTACCGCAGGCGCAGCCCTCCTTCGGCAGGGAGGCGCGCTGGTGTTTCACGTAATTCACAGCATTCAGGCACCACCGTATGGAGTACACATAGTTACTGCTGATAAACTTCATTCTTTCTCAAGGAGGCAAAACACAGAAGGAAACATGCCTTTTCTGCTCTCTGTCAGAGAGCCTGGCAAAGGTCAGACATCCTGCCCTATCTCAAAAGGGTGTATGCTAAGTCTTCATACCATTCAAGACTTAAGGAAAGTGCTCTTGCTCCTGAAAGACTGAGCCTTAGCCTGCCTGTGATCCCGATGAATTGAGGGGGCACTTGGAGAACCTTATGGACGGGGCCTGCAGAAAGGCCACTGTTCATCCTGTACAAAGTTCTGCATCCAGGACCATGAGCTGTGCATCAGTGAGGGGCTGGACAGCAGCCCTGCTTCAAAGGAGCTGGGGGATACCAGGGATACCAGGCTTTCCAGATCAAGGAAAGTCTACTCAGTGCAGATGAAGGTACTGTGACCAGAACATAGTGGTGTTTTGGGCTTGCTTTGTTCCCCAGCAGAGGATTACTGACATGGTCAGGGGCCTAAAGCACATGACCTACAAAGAGTATATGAGGGGAGTTGGGCTGTTTAGTCTGAGGATGAGGAGACTATAGGGTCCGCATGGTAACATCCTACACAGACCTGAAGGGCAGTTTCAAAAGCCATGGAGCTGAGCCCTCTTAGTAGTGCAAGACTAACAAGGGGCAATGGCAACAAACTAGCTTGGGAGGTTCGTGTGAAACAGCAGGAAAAATCCTGTCACTAGGAAAGGAGCTGTCTAGAGGTACATGATTGACCTGAACCAATACTGATCCTCCTGCTTTGAGGAAAAATGTGGACTACAGACCTCCAGCCAACAGTCCCATTTCATTCCAACAGGTCCTCAATTCCAATCATGACCAAACTAAAAACGTTTAAGACCTTACTCAGTGACAGGGAGCTAAAACTGATGCGTGACAGCCAAAGGCAACAGAGTTTCTATGGAAGGCGGAAAAAGACACAGCAAACCTTTGCAGAAAGTGTATCAAGCTAAGACAAAAAAATAAGCCCACTAAAATTGATATAAGGTTAAAAAAACTGCAAAGATGAGGTGGATCAGGATCCAACATGGTATCTAAGTAGTTAGGTACCAGTGCTACAACCAGATTACCAGGGCTACAACTGATTTTATTCATCAGCAATATTTGTATATTGAATTCTACAGGATCATAAGGAAATAATGTTGATCTGATCATGCTTTCACCAGAAATAATACAAAAACTATTTCAACATAAAGGAGATGTCTCTACTTGCTTTGGTTTAGGACTTAGTTCATTTTTCTATCATTTTTTATTCATTTTTCTATTGTTTTGGCCTTTTAACTTCCCATTTTGTTACATCCTCTTCAGGGTTCTTCATAACAGAATTTTTCCTACTATGTCCAAAAGAATGAGAAGGCTGCTTTCTAATCTCTTAATGTTTGTCTTTGTGTGTCTTAATACCTGCAGAAGGGACACAAATGAGGGTGACTGGGCAAAATGGAAGGAGTTGATACCCAATGCAGTTCCATCCGTATTAGCTACTAAAATACTTTCCAGACATTGGTGAACGACCAAGCCGCATTGGCAAAATCTAGTTCTTCTTTTCTAGGGATCACGGGAGCGATTTAGCATCTTATGAAGCATGCACAAGTGTTTGAATGGGCCCCTGGAGAGGAACAAAGCTATCTCAAGTAACAGCCATGTCTCCTTGTGAAACTTCTCAAGTGGTGGGACACATGCAGGGCCATGGGCCATCCTGCTATCAGTGCCAGGCCGAAGTTCCCCAACCTATGCCACATCACATGACAATACTCACAAATTAGGTCCTGTGATGATTTAACATTAATATTAGAGGAAAAACACTTTGAGTACCGCAGACTCTTAGTAACTCTATGTAACCCTTTAGTAGAAGGGAAGAATTGGGAAGAACTGGTAATACAGAAATGGAACCTTTCAAGGTTCTGGACAAAGGAGTTGGACTCTTGAGCTATTGGAATTTAGCCATGCCTGTTCTCAAAAATCTAATCCCCTTACTTTTACTTCATGTCTAAATAAAAATATCCTAGAAAATGATGAGACAGAAATCACAGTGACTGACTAGAAAAAAATAAAAGAGTACATATTCCAACTTGAAGATTTTTGCAACAACAACATCAAAAATAAATTTTAAAATCTCATCCATTTGAAAAAAGAGCTTGGAAGCTGGGTAATCCTAGAAAATTTCAAGGTATCATGTACAAATTTGTTATGCAAAACTACTAAAAATTATTTCACATGACAGTGTTAAAAAAACCATTTGACTTTAACAGCAAGGAATTTTTTGACTACCCATGGTAATTAAAAAAAAATATATATAAAAGGCTGGGGTCTGATTTGAGAGTTTTAAAATATTATATAGAGAATTTCCTATACTAACAATTTTATAACTACTTTTCCAAGGAGAACAGCACTTAGATTTAAAAATACATATGGAAAATTCTCCTGTGGCTATAAATAAAATCTAATTGTTTCAGAATGAAGTCATATAAGCCATACAAGAAGGGACATGCAATAAAAAACATTAAAAAAATTAACAGTCTCTGCAACATTAAATTATTTTTATAAAATGAAAGCTATTTTCACAGTAACATTTCCTTGAAGACAGAAAATTCTGCATTGCAGAACCACCTTATATTTCCAATTATTTAAAATAAGACTGCAGTACCAGAAAAAATATGGATGCCAAGTCCCTTCCATCCTGCCAGTGTGATTAGAAAGATGGAATGGAGTCTACAAAGGGGTGTATGGCGTGATAAGAAACAGACATGACTAGGTCACTCCTGCCAGAGGAATACCGCTGCAGCACAGCAGCTTCCAGCAGAGCAAGTAACATTCTGCAGTGCTGGCAGGCAAGGAGCAGTGACTCAACAACTTCATCTGGGTTTGAGACAGTGCACACCAAACTTACAGCAAAGCTTCCTTTGACACAACAATCACTGACCTTCATTCTTAAATTAATGCTTTAAGTGTTACCAACAGATGCTTTAAACATTGCACTGTATGTATTTCCCAGCAGTCAGAGATTACAGATTGCATTGGTCCATAGTCACTGCCAGGAGCTTGCTATGCCCTTGCTTTACTAATGCAACTTCTTTTCAAGAAGTTTGAAAATAAGCCTACCCTTTGTTGATGACACATGTGCTAGTCATTGGCAAGCCACCCCTTACTGTACAGTTTCTGTTTCATTTGAATTGCTCCACTAACAGAAAACATCTGATCTTTCTCTAGCTAGAATTCTATCTAGTACAAATGGCCAAAAAAAACCCCCAACCTATGACATGTGAAGTGTTTGATTCAAACAAATGTCTCATTTTTCCTCAGATCTGTTACACAAATTGGATATTTTGATGAAACTATTTATTTTAGATTGGTGCAGTGAGTTTACAGAAATACTCCTACTTTGCACCCCTCATGTGAAACCATTATTAGCAGTTTCTAAGCAAAATATCTACAGGATCATAGCTTAGTCAAACATTGAAGAACTGAAGTATTATTCCTTCTTCAAGCTGACATGTTTATAAAAGTCAAATATCAACAGAACGGGATTTTTTGAATAGTACTAGAAGTGAGCAAAACCTTTAAGGGCACAGAGACCAGGAACAGATATTTATTTTCATCTAATGATTTTGATCTCTCTGGGATTTGCTTTAATGTACAAGTGAGTTCCTTGATGGCACTAAGCAAATTCTAATGGAAAATAGTTTAAAAACCTATAAAAGTTGTTTCAGTTTTTTCTTTGCAAATAAGGAGCAAAGCAAGAAGGCAAAAATAAATTACAAAATTTCAAAATCTCAAATGCTGAAGTAAAATTTCCTCTTTGATCCACCCTTAAGAAAATACTACTTTAAGCGAAGTCCTTGAGGAGACAACTCAACTATAGAGCAGTAACCATTTCTCCACAAATTTGAATTCCTGAGAATTGCTGAGTTTTCAATTCCAGATGGTACAAATAACAAAATACCAGTACAAAATGTTTGACATTTCAAATTACGCAAAAGATTATACCAAATTCTAAAAATAGACTCCTCAATTACTCTTCAGGGATTGCAATAGGAGGGAGTGCAGTATTGCAAGAGCTGCTGTTGGCATACAATTTTTAATAAGCAATATGTTAAATTACTGGTGGTATTTTCTTTTGGCCTTTGGTGCCAATAAAAGGGCCAGATTTAGAACATCCACTTTAACCTTGAAACATCAAAAGAGCAGAGCCTAAATTTGCAAATTGATTTCAGGACCTAATGTAGGCTCCTAAACACCTTCATTAATGCAGGCCTAGGGTTTTTTCCTCCATTGAGGACACAGATTCATCAGGTTATCAAAGCTGGGGTTTTTCCATACTACCTTAAAACATTTTTCCTATTTTAATTTCAGAGTTAATGAAGCAACTATCTTTCCACTAAGGAAAATCAACTCATTAACTAAAATGGTCCAGATTACACATGTATTAAACATTTTAAGTAGTATTTATTGATATCTATTTTTGCTGAATATTACATTCAATAATACTTCAAAGTTTCATAATGTTTTCTAGGCATCAGTCAACAGAGTCCTTTGTATTTAGAGAAAACTAGAATACAAAATAGAAGGAAATACAAGACAAGTAGTTTTAAAAATTGTGAAAAACCACAACTTTGAGCACTTCTACAAATATCTCTTCATCAGATAGTGGATGATATCCAGCAATATCCTTCCAGATAATCATAGCTCTTTTCCACCTCTGTATCAGTTCTGTCTCACTCATAACACAATTCCATAGAGAAATACAAGCTACAATTTATGCTTCAGAAAACAGAAGGACAGGTGGCACAGAAGAAGAAACATGAGTCACATGTAAGGCTAATAAGAGGAAGGGAGGAAAAGGGGAAGAAAGCACACAGGTCATCCTCTTCTGGGTAAACACAGAGAAGTGAAAAAATCCTCAGAGATGCCCACATGTATAAGATTTGCATTAGAAGGGCCTAGTTAACTAACCTGCAAAAAAAGAGAGATTCAAAGCCCCAGATTTTCTATCCCACAGTCAATGGCAATGGACATATATAACTTCCATGAGTTTTCACAGAATTACCCAGGGAACCAGTGGAACAGATCCTGAAAGAGTAGTCAGCTATTGCTAACAACCACTGTCTAACACAATGCAAAGCCCACCTTCTTAACACACAGGAAAAAACAGAGGCTATACATTAAAGAACATCAAGGGGGAATCTGCAGATTGCAAGGCTGAGGGTGGAAGCTGTCTTCTTCCTGCAGGGCCACTGAAATAAGAACATTTCTAATTACAACTTTATGTTTTGTAAGTGTTTACAACAAGTAAACACTTATCTCATTAACTTTGCGTAGACATGTTGGCACAAAGAACTTGCTTTGCATTTTAGGTGTTGGCAAGAATATACATTCATCCCAGTGAAACAATCTGTTGAATTCTGAGTTAGGCAAGCACAGGAAGGAAACTTTCACTTGTTTACTATATAAAAGTGCTATAGTGAATGGACTGTAAACTGAAAGTTAGACTATGAACCCTTTAAACACAGGAGTCTTTTCAAGCAGTTCTCATTAATTTCATGGAGACAATTCATAAGGAAATGCAGCAGAACCTGGCACCTATAGAATATTTTGTAATTTAAGAAAATAATTTCACCTTTAAAAATAGCAATTTTATACAAACACTAGCCAAGTTTCAGACTTCTTTAAATTACTGACCATGGATGTTTGAGCAAGAGCATGCCAGCCTAACAGTAAATTCTTTTGCTTGGTTAATGTTTTTTTACCTGTTCTTATCCTTGATCTCCATTGTCTCTTTTTCTTTGATATCTTCTTGATAGGAACATGAAGCAGATATTGGATTTATAAATTAGAAAGTTATTTTTTAATCCTTTTTGCTTATCATCTCTTCAGTGGACACCAGAAAGCCCAAGCATATGAAAGTCAATTCAGTATTCACTCCATCCCTTTTCTGCCCAAGATGTCTCTGTGCATCACTGTTTGCTATTTCTCCAGTTTTCTTTTAAAGCCACTTGCTTATTTGTTCACAGAAGTTCATTCTCTTATAATCAAGAACAGATCTCAGAAAGCAAGGAGGTCTTGTTCAGTTTCTCTAATTTAGCCTGAATTCAGGCTATATTCTTGTGCTATTGATTTCTATTTATCTTCTAGAAAAGGCATGGAATTCTGGAAGCTGATGTTTCTGCTGTCTTCTTTTTTTTCTGGAAGCAGGCACAGTTGGAATTGTATCAGTGAAGCCCAAAGTCTGACATGTCTTCTTCATCCCACCTGCTAGAAGATACTTCTTACCATCAGGTCAGGAGTTCTGGAAGAAGGAACACAAGGGAAAAGGGGAGGGTCATTCATGCAGAAAGAGTTGAGCTGAAGGGTATGAAAAAGCCATTTCCTTTGAGGGCATAGTTGCAGTTACCAGTATGGAGTGAGTCATGATACTAATTATAAACTGCCTCATGCATTGCTTGTAGGCACACGGAGGGAGAGCTGACACAGAGCAGTGAGGTTTCCTGCTTCTCCTCCAGTTTAATACCATGCAGTCAGCTCAGTGACAAACACGCAGAGCTGCAAGCATGCTGGACTGAATGGGTGCCATGGCTTAATGCCAGCTGGCAACTAAGCACCCAGCAGCTGCTCACTCTCTCCCAGTGGGATGGGGAGCAGAACCAGGGAAAAAGGTAGAATCTGTGGGTTGAGATAAGAACAGCTTAATAAGTGAAAATACTATCATTAATATTAATAAGAGTGAAGTAATGGCAATGCAAAGAAATACAACAAAAAGAGAGCCAGAAATAATATCCGAGAAAGAAAAGTGATGCACAAAACAATTGCTTACCACGCACTGATCAATGCCCAGCCCATCCCTGAGCAGAGATCCATCCCTCATGGCCAGTACATCCCAGTTTATACAGTCAGCCTGACATTCTATGGTCTAGAACATTCCTTCAGCCCCTTTGGGCTTAGCTGCCCTGGCTCTGTTCCCTCCCAGTTTCTTGTGCCGCTCCTTGCTGTCAAAGCACAGAAAACTGAAAAACCTTGATTTAGAGTAAGCAGCAACAAGCAACATCAGCAAGTTATCAACATTATTCTCATACTAAATTCAAAACCACAATGCTGTACCAGCTACTAGGAAGAAAATTAACTCTATCCCAGCCAAAACCAGTAAAACTGGCAACTGTTCTAGGATATACATTCCTCTACACTAGATATTACAGTCTGGATGTAAAACTATGCCATCAAGGAAAGTAACAGGCTGGGCAGAGCTTTCATGGAGAAGGATTTTGCCCCTCTATTTAAATGGCTTGCAGCTAGGGGAAGAGGTTAACTAGTTAACTAGTTTGCACTGACTTTCCACTGGGAGGTTTCAAACTCTTCCCAGCTAATCCCCAGTCCCAAGCTATATTGGTCAGCATCTACCCTATGCTACCTTTGGGAACTATTTCCACCGAATTTCTGTAGCTCCAGAACAGTGTACAAGTGAGGCAAGGTGTGTGCTGTCAAGCTGCAGAAAACAACATACTTCACTATTAAGTTATTACCCAAGGAAGATGAGTTTTAGAGAGCTGGGAGTCCTGACAATGGTGTTCAATTATTGTTCTGCATCTGTGCAAATGTAAATCCTTCTCTGAGCCTCTGAGAGTATTGGCAAGTCTTTTCATAATGTGCAGTTGCCTATGTCCCCCTTCAAACAGCAACACACAGACATTCCTTCCTGACCCAGAAAGAAAACCAACTGTGGCTAAATTGCAAAATATTAATTAGACGTAAGCATGATACTGAAATAAAAATTGCGTGAAAGAAAGGGAAGTAGAATCTGTGGCTTAGATACTGGGGTTTTTTAAATACTTAAGGATTTTACCTACTCATTAAAAAAAATGTTGAAATGTATGACTCCTGAATGCATATTTACTGTGATAAGCATTATGAAGAATTTAAGTTAACATAATGTTTTTAAGTGGCCTCAATATAAATTTTTCTTTCTGTGGATGCTGAGATGTATATCTACCTTATAAACAAAAGTCTACCCTTAAGTTGTACTTAAATAATAAAAACAGAAGCAAAGAGCCTTGCAAATCCAGCCCCATTTTCCCAGATGTGAATGATTTCAAAGAGAGCAAAAGGATTGCAGCCCAGCTGCATAATGGGTTGCAGTTGGAGGGGAGCACTAAGGGAAGCTTTTTGGCTGCAGTGGAAAGCCAGGCTCAAGAGACCCAAGCACTGTGTGTGTACCTATAGAAGATAAGGGTAGCTTATACCAGTTCCTCTAAAATGTCATTAGAAAAAAATCACACATGAAAAGTATTTCAAGTTATTTGAGCAGCTTCAATTGCCTTGAGGAACGATAAAGGAAAAATACGTTATAATAGAAAGTAATAGAAAGCTAATTATGACTTTAGGAGACAGCCTCTCCATAATTAGTGAGTGACACACTTTCTCAGACTCCATTCTATTTCTAGACTTGGTCTCTCAAAGATTGTCCTTTATTATGTTGCCCCCTTGATATGTTACTTTTCTTGGTACTGACACATCCTTGGAAAACAAATATATCTTCTAAGATTTTTGACAATGACAACTTGTTCAGAAAATTGAGAGGTTCAAATTACCTAAAAACAGCCTAAAATTATTGATACAATAAATACTTTGCTTAGCAGAAAAGCACATTCTAGCACAGTGTGAACTGACATCTCTACACCAGCAAATAATTCCAGTAGTCCTCGAAGGTGCTTGGTCTTGCCAGCATAGATGTGACCAAAAGTTTGGTACCAGATCACGTTACAATCCTAGAAAGATTTCAACACAGTCATGTCTATGTTGTCTCCCATGGAAAGAAAGAGAGCCAACTTGGCTGCCAGATACCAGATACAGATTTATCCTGGTACACTTAACTTACTGACCTTACACTTCCCCAGTGCCTGAGCTGGTCATACAAGTTACCTTATACTTTTATATGATACTGAGCTGCAGCATCTGAGAGCAGTCTCTAATTGAATTTATTGCTATAGCCAACCATAAATCTCTCCTGGAGGAGAAAAAAGCCAGTTACAATCAACACCTATGCCAATTTTCTGCTGTGAAATTTATTACCTTTTAGGATAAAACACCCTTGCTGGAGGATTTTATGTGTGTCTTTAATTGAATTTTGGGGGAGGAGGTTTAGCAGTCAAAGTGCAAAAAAATCTTCAACTTTGTGGATGCCTGTGATTAGTTGTAGGTAGGAACCACAGGTATAGCTACACAAATACCTACTTTTGCTTCCAAACCAGGTAGGTGGATATGTGTGTATATATACATACATACATATATATATATATATATATATATATATATATATATATATATATATATATATATATATATTCTGCTACAGAAATTTTTGTTTTAAAAACATTTGTGGTTGTCTGACTATCTATCTATTCACTCCTCTTCCATCCTAATTAATATTAGGATCAGTCTAAATGAAATACACTGAGTTTCTTTCCACATTGATAATGCCTAAATCAAAATTCTTAAGTCCATCCAGCAGCATAGGAAAAAAATACAGAACCATCAGAATTACTGAACACCATCCAAAGTTTTGAGTAGGAAACTTGTGGACAAAATACTGCAGCAGCTAATGCTTAATTTATGTTTCAGACAGTCTAAAAGCACAAATTGTGTCAACACACAACTTTAACTAGCTGAGTTCAAAATGAATTTCTATCAAATTCAGGACCATCACACAACTGCAGGTACCACACAAATGTAAAGACTTGCTTCTCAGAGATACCTGTTCAGCAGAAATTTGAGACAGACCTGATACAGTGAAATACAATAATGTGACAGCAAGCTATAAAAGCTGGAAATAAAGTAGATATGCCCTTAGTATGTTACTTGTCTAGACATTTTGGTGTAACAACTTCAACTGCAATGAGTAGTCCACAGCATCAGCAGATAGGAATCAATGCCATCAGCAAAATATATGGCTCTGCATTTATATTGTTGTGAATTACAGGAGCTTTCATGCTTTATCACATAGAATTTTAAGATTAAAAATATACTGAAAGCATTCCAAAATGCCAATACTTTAATAATAATTATAGAGTTGATAATATTAATGCTACAAATTCTATATCATTAATGCTATTCATATTAAAATCAATAAAAATGCTATGCCCTTGTTGATTTTTATATAGAGAAGAGAGTGCTTGCAGCTGTAACAGTGATTCTTTTTCTAGAGTGTGATGAATTCGATGCATTTGCACAGTAGGCATTGTTGCTTTTTGATGAGGCACCACAAACATACATACAAGGATAAAAATATTTAACAGATGAAAATCAGGACAGATGCTGCAGTCAGTTTTTGAAGCAAGTATTACTTGTACCTACCCTTTCCAAGGCTAAGAAGAGGAAGCAGTTATTCCTCTTAGGACCAGCACCAGTTATTCCTCTTAGGATGGCCATGAGCTGTCAGTGTGCTCCCACAGCCCAGAGAGCCAAACGTGTCCTGGGCTGCATCCATGGTGGGCAGCAGGGCCAGGGAGGGGATTCTGCCCCTCTGCTCTGCTCAGAGCCCACCTGCAGGGCTGCACCAGCTCTGGGGCACCAGCACGGGGAGGACATGGATCTGTTGGAGTGAATACAGTGGAGACCATCAAGATTATTAGAGGGATGGTGCACCTCCCTACAAAGAAAGGCTGAGAGAATTGGAATTGTTCAGCCTGGAAAAGGGAAGGCTTCATGGTGTCCTAATTGTGGCCTAAAGGAAGCCTACAAGAAATGTGGAGAGGGGCTTTTACAAGAGCCCGTAGAGACAGGACAAGAGAGAATAGATTCAAACGGAAGAGTAGCTGTAGATAAGAACCTCTGAAGAGATTTCTTTACTGTGAGGGTGGTGAGGCACAGAAACTGTGGATGCTCCATCTCTGGATGCCGTCACGGCAAAATTGGATGGGGCCTTGAGCAACTTAGTCTAGTGGAAGGTGTCCCTGACCATGGCCAGAGGTTGGAAATGGATGATCTTAAAGGTCTCTTCCAACCCAGAACATTCTGTGTTTCCATGATCTACAGCAAGGTTTTGTAGTTCCCTCAAGATGAGTGAAGGCCCTGTTCTGCTCTTTGCCAGCATGGCAGTCATCTGACCATCACCGAAATGTATTCTTTGTGAAAACTTCTTTACTATTAAAGGAAAGAAGACAGCCTCCAACAGCAATCAATGAAGGCACAAAGGTAAGTAGTAGTTCTGGTGTGGATGCATTTGTAGAATATACTGGAAAAGATTTCAGAGTTGCCTGAGCAAACAGAGTAGCCACTAGCTCCAAAACCAGAAGCAGC